ATTGGCTATCGCATATTAGAGGTTGAGAACAACCTGAATGCATCCAATGTCGCCGAGGGGAGGGGCACACTGAGCTGGATTCATTTGGACGAGAGTGAGCGGGACGACCTTGCGGCTTTCTTATCTGCAACCCCTCCTCAACATCAAGATAAAGTTGTTACAATCCCATCTGCTGGCGATATTCAAGTGGGCAGCAACCCGACAAGGGTGAGGAAAAATATTTCAGCTGACAGCTCCAATGATTCATCTGGCTCTGCAGACTTGAGTTCAGCGAGAGCAAAGGAAGATGCACATCGTGGGCACAGGAGGTCAGTCAGTGCCAGTGCTGATATTGGATCGTCGCCTATGTCATTTCCAAATGAACGAGAGGGTGCTGCTGAACAATCATCTCTTGGCCCACACAGAGCACCTTTGCTGAATATTGTCAAAGCGTGCGGATTGCCGAGTGCCTTGAAACCTAAGCCTGCAGTTAAGTACAAAAAAGGAGCTGTGAGGTGGGCACATGCAGACAAACAGGATCTTGAAGCGGCAATCCCTCTCACAAATCCTCAGTTGGGTCAGGTGATTGAGATCTTACTTGAATGGTGCTAACATCCATTGTTCAATACGATTCAGTTTGAAGCTTAGTTTTATATCCTTATATTGCCATTCTTTGTTGTAGGGCTTAGATGGATACTCTGAAAGAAGCATCGGTTACTTAAATACTTGCGATGGGGTTACATACAATAAGAAACTCTATGGTTGGCTTGGAGCACTGCGTAAGAAACTTCAGAGATCACAATATCAAATTCGATATGGGCGGCCTGCTCAATTGATTGTATTTGCACTTGCTGTTCTCATAATATGTAAGTTCGCTCATTTTATATGTTCTTTGTTTTGTTCTATTCCTTGCTTAAGCAACTAGAAATAAAGGCTAGAAAGTCAGTTGCAGCCTAAATGTATATATTAGGTATTGTGTGCATAATCATAATTATTCTGTAACTTATCCATTGCGCCCTAAGTTGGTGTTTTATTCCACATTCCACCACCCATCGCAATACCAGTTTAATGTTTTCTGTCTTTTAAGGTTGATTTTACGTTCAACAAAGTTTCAGCTGAATTTTGAGTAGAAAACTTGCATTTGATATTGTGATAAGTGATGACTTGATCCAATCATAAATTTCTTATTATTCAATGTTTTATACTCATACCTTACTGTTTCTTGTACTTCCTTTCCAGTTGTGTTTGTATTCAAGACAATATGGTGAGAAATTTGCATGGGCTCGTGATTGGGTTAGAAAAGCCCCACCAGATCAGCATAAATTGCATGTGGACAGGAGTGACCATGCACATATGGGAAGTTGGGAACCATGGCAGACTGTTTCTGGTAATCCACATTGAAACAAATGAAGAATGATTGTGGAGCAATTCACCACGCTACGTCTGTAACTCAGTGGCTTTGCCATTGGATATGCACTGGACGGTGGACGGTCTGTGCGGCATGGTGTATCTCAAGATCTCAGTTCTCACAGTGACCAGTTGGCTTGTGCTTAATGGTATGCCCTGAACTTCAAATTAGGGTCATGCTGCACTAGTGGTGATGCAGGTGCAGCTAGCAACAGGAATGCGACTGGGAGTGCCGACTGGTGATTGTGCTATCGCCTATGGGGCCTTACTTGAGATTTGAGAAGGCTTCCCTTTGGTTATTTTATTGAACCTGTGATAATTGGTTCCAGATACAAATAGAGATTTGTTCTCAAGTGCTGTAGAAGAGGCTGGAATAGTTGTACCGGGATCTGCTTGAACTGTAATAATACCTAAACAACAGAGTTAGAGGCTTGGCGATCCTGTTTGGTCTGTGGCTGAATTTATAATCTGAAGTTCAAATTTCACAGGTGCTAATAGGCTTTTGATAATTCTACAGAGTTGCATCTTTGAGAAGTTTTACCACCCATAAAAAGCCATAAACTGGTTTGTAACTGGCATCTCTAGCTCCTGATTATTATCCACGGATGCCTTCTGTTGCTAATAAACCAGCCCTGTTGACTGAGTTAACTGAATTCTCTCTTCCCATATTTTTTTCTTTGAAAGAGAGGTTTTTTGTTTGTTAAGCTGCTGCAACCAGGAGCAGATGTCAAACCTTTTGATGTGCACTCAAGCACATTAAATAAACTTGTGGTTAATCATTTCCCGCACTTCACTTTGCTTTGTATGCTTGTGGGCTTTCTAATTAGATTATTGCCTAGCTTACTTTGCTTTGAGATTGCTTGCCATATAGGTTGTTTTCATCTAGTTCCATATCAAGATAACCTACTTTATTCATAAATCCTAAAAATTGATAATTAAACTTAAAATTGTTAGTCTTTTATTCACCCACCCTTTCGGTCGTATAGATACTTTCATATAGTACACGACAAATACATTGTACGTACAGTGACAAAGGCCATATCTCGTCATGTCTCAAGGTGGACCGGTCCAACTCGGTGATTCCCATCCCTTATGTACTATTGGGTTAGTATCTCTATGCCCACAACTTGTGAAACATAGTCATCAACCGAATAGTATACTAGTCAAAGGATATATGTCTGTATAACCTTGTCACTTAAGGACTATTAGACTAATCATCATAAAATATATAATCTCATAAACAAGTCACATGCTCATTGGTACATATCAGTGATGATGTTTAAGGACAATAGAAATAATTCATGAATACATATAAGGAAATAACATCATCATGATTGCCTCTAGGGCATGTCTCTTGTAGGGCTCTTCTCGTCGCGGATCCGCCACTCAAGCTCTAGGCTAGCTGCGCCGCCGAGACTCGCCCTCCTTTGGTTGTGGGGCCGCGGACTCTTCCAGCAGCTGGAGTGCAGCCTCCTCGACTATTGGGTTCCTGACCTCCTTTGTCTCCTGGCCGCATGTCTTTAATCATCGTCGGAGCCAGCCCTCTCCTAGTCATGAGCCCCCGGCGAGGTCACCGTCTTCCTGGTCTGGTGCCTATGCTCGACGGCTAACTGCTAGGTGGTCCACCTGAACAACACATGGTTGTTTCGCTTCCTGATCGTGCCGACGCCGGCAAACCACTTGAGCGGCGGATTGTGGTGCCCATCGAAGGGTCTTCGTGAGTGTTCCTCGCTCCAGATCCAGTGGTGGCTGTCGGTGGGCTGCACTGGCGAGGTTGCGGGATGTAGCTGGGAGGCTCCTTTGTGGGTTTTGGCGGCTCTTACTCCGACCAATTTGCATTCGACAGTGAGATGAATTCTATGGATGGCAACTTCATGCAGAGGGTTGGTTGTGCAATGGCGGTGGTGACACCGTCACGTCATGACTGTCCTACGTTTGAAGTTGTTGGGATCGCGAAAAGTAGTGGCAAACAACACATGATTGACTTTGATTTGGTGATGCTTTTCGTGTACCCGGTCCCAAGCTCCGGGGTGAAAACCCAGTCTGACCCGTGTTGGTTATACCTGGCAATAGCAATGTTTTTTGCGTCGTTACCTTATTGAAGGCATTGTTCGGATATGTTCGGACTTGTTCTTCAGAACGAAAACTTATGATCTTGACTTTGGTGGTTGGATCCGGTGACGATGACGCTCGACCGTTGTACCATTTCGAAAGGTGTTGTTGTTGAAGAACCGTTCTCATGATTCTTGTGGCGTCAAGAGATGGTTGATGTGGACATGGTCATTGTTGTAGTTTATGAACCGCTTAGTTTTCCGTCGCTTTGGCATAACTTTGATATTGTACGACTTTATTCTATGCTGGCGTATTTTTTCACTTTTATGTTGGGGTGTTGGCTTAGATGTGTGCATCCTATTTATGGGTATAGAGTTTGTATACCCTGATCAATAAATCCACCGTTTATCTCGGGAAAAACAATCAATTCTACTTCGACCATTGTAGCATCTGACTTCCTCTCCCCGGTCCTAAGGCTTCATTTCGCCCCCACCCAGAAAACACCCTCGCTCTCCACCCTCACCTTACACCGGCGGGAGAGGAGCGTGCTTCTCCGCTCGCTGAAATCTCGCGGCTCCTGCTGGTTGATGTTCTGCTCCGGGTCTGGCACAGCAAGGTGAGAACACAATCCCTTGTTCGTACTATTTGCTGCCCATGAATTGGATCTGAGCAGAGCATCATTCACATTCGCAGAGGCCAGAGGGGGGAGGCCGGTGGTAGGTAGGCTTCTGCTTCTCCGTCGTCCTCGGGGTCGAGCAGATTCTCTTGGCCGGTGTGCTGCTCTGATGCCGTCTTCCCCGTGCGAACTCAACACTGCACAGGTCTTTTTTTATCCATCGAAACCCTAACTAATAGCTGCACTTTAGAGTAAGATATTCGATTAGCTTTGCGTGCTTCCGATCCAATTAATTCATTGTTAGACAATCCATGAGTTCCCAAGTAGAGCAATTAGCCCATGGTACATGGAATGGAAGGTACTATGTGCAGTTAGCCCTTCTTCCAGTTTGTGATGACTTCTGACTGATTAATCAGCTACGCGCCGAGTTAATTAATTCATGATTTCCTTGCTTCTTTATGATATTCGTGTTTGGAGTGTGTATATACACACCTGCAGAGCTCTTGAAACAAATGGGTAAGAACAGATTGATTATTAAATGCATGGAAAGTTGCAAGAAAACCAAACGGCTAGAAATCTGTAGGTGTGAAAATAGATTACGTGCAAAGATCCTTTACAGAGAGCATTATGTTGTGACCAAATTCTTGGTCTAATCCTGCATATCTGTAAGCCGTTGTTCAGTTTTGCTTTTAGTACTGAATCGAACTTAATTTTTTTCAAGATGTCAATTGCTCTATACTAATGTTTATGATTACGTTATCCCAATAAAGCTGAACTTGAAATGGATTAAAATGACTAACTCGTGTAGCAACTGCTTTGTCCCCCAGTAAAACATAGTTTCAGATGATTGAATTATGTTACAGTTTTTTTGTCTCCATGATTAAAAAACTGCTTTCGTGTCTATCCTGACATTATGAGTTTTGCTTTTCAGTAAACTACAATAGAGATGGACACTGAGAATGGTTTTCTTGCTGCTAAGCTAACTGATGATCTAGTGGTGGAGATCCTCTCCCGGCTGCCGTTCAAGTCTTTTTGCCGCTTCAAATGTGTCTGCAAGGCCTGGCTTGCCTTCTCCTCTAATCCAGATTACTGCAAGGAGCTTTTGAAAATTCCGATGGGTCTTCTATATCAACACCGTTATGATGAATTTGATAATGATTTCGATGACTCTGCTATCAAGCTTGCTAGCCTGCCCCACAATGACAAGGAATTTGATGAAGCTCTTAGTTTCCTACCACAATATGAGCAGTTAGAGCTGCTGGACTCTTGCAATGGCCTGGTCCTTTGTAAGTACAAGAGCAGCTGTACTCCTTTTGGTATTTGCTGCTTTATCGTGTGCAATCCGGCAACACGAGAGTGGAAGGTGCTCCCTGATACTCCTCCTAGCGATTATAAACCTTTTTGCAATGTGAGTTTTCTGGCTTTTAGCCCATCATGGTCGACAAAGTTCTACATCTTCAACTCTCAGCGGCCGAGCACCCGCTATTGGGTATTTGGCCCCGTCAAATTTCAGGTGTTCTTGTCTGACCTTAACACTTGGTTTCTGTATGATACATCAGTGCTCTTTGAGGCAAAAGTTTCTCGACCACACATGTTTATAGATGGAGCATTGTATGTGCACACAGGTTTGCATGACATTCTGGTCCTGAAAAGCTTGGAGGAAACTAGTTCTGGCATTCCGCCGTCTCTTCGGACTATTAAGTTGCCGCATGAAGATGGTGCCTTTATGGGTAGGTTTGGCCAATGTTGCTTTGGCCAATCTTCGGGGGCCTTGCACTATGCATTGCCAGAGGAGGATGCTCGTACGATTCTTGTTTGGAGTCTTGATGTTGATGAGCCTTATGAGTGGAGCCTCAAGTACCGCCTCAATATGAGCCAAGCATTCGGAAGGGACAACCTTTGTCAGCATGGTGCACCCCACTGGAAATCCGACTATGCTGTCGTCGCTCTTGACCTGGAGAGAGATGGTCTTTTCCTGATTGACAAACGGGAGGACAAGATCCGTTTGTACAAAATTAGCACCGGTGGACTTACTCACATTCAACCAGAAGACCACCGCTCCCGCTTTTTGAATAACAAGTACTATCATTATGTGGCATCCTACTCAAAGCTCCCAGCTTTAACCATGTAGTCGGTACCATCTTTGTTTGGCTTTTGAGCGTGACACCCCTTTATATATGCTGTCAAAAAATGCAGAGGCAGTTCTTCTCTCAGTTAATTGCTATTTATGGACTGTAATCTAGGACCATTTTTTGTTTTCTTGAACCTATTCCGTTTGAGTACCAAATATTAATGAGGTTAGCTCTATTCTGTCGTCATGTAAACAAACTGATTGTAGCAGAAGCTGCATGTAAGCTGGGAGCCCTATGTATTCTGCCCTAGCCATCTCTCTGCAAATACAGTTCCTGAGATTTCTGAGGGAAGATGCTGAATTTCTTGGAAATGCTAGAGGAGTGTGTGCTTTGTGACATCTGTCTGAATGGAAGAAATCATGGCGTGCTCCCGTGAAAGGATAAACTGGATTCAGGAAGGAGAAAGTTTTGACTATCTAACGTTGAAACCCATACTCCACTTCAAGGTATCTCTTTATTATGTAAACTGGTATAGCCCTTTACATTGCTCTCATACTAGAAATAACAATTCCCCACAAAAGCACGGGGAAAACGAGATCAAGCAGTAGCAGAGAACCTGCTACTGCTCCGTTTTAAACCGTATATGCTGGCAGTGGTTTTATCGTACATGCGTGTATGTAACGGCCGGAGGCGATGGCTACTGCGGAGTTGGGGCGTATGGGGCGTACGGGGGCCAGTACAACTGGAGCTCCATCTTGTACGTGACCGTCGATCCCCGCAGGTCCACCGGCGACGACCGGACGTAGCCCAAGGCGTACGCGAAGTCACCGGTGCCGCCCACCACCGGGTAGTCAGACGGCCTGGTGTTGTGGGTTCCCCCGAGGACGGACACGGAGCCCCGGTGGCCGCGGTGGTGGATCGTGATCTTGGCCAGCGACAGGCTCATCAGCCCGTCGAGGCTGGTCGTGATGGACGTCCCCTCGGCCACGCCGGCCACCGGGGAGGCCCCGTCGGCGTGCACCGTCAGGTTGTCGCGGAAGACGTAGACGGTGCCGAAGGGCGTGGTGGTCTGGCTGACCCCGGCGCCCGCCACGCCGTCGACGACCATGTAGGCGGTCTTGTTGATGGTCTCTTGCTGGTACAGGGTGAAGCTGAGCGTCTTGCCGCCGCCGCCGTCTCTGGTCTCGTTGCTGCGTGGCGGCGCTGCAGCTGCAAGTGAGAACAGCTTTGAGGTGCGACACCATGGTGATCACCATCGTCAAGCGCAGCAGCAAGCTGGCGGACCGGGTGTTCGCAGCCATGCTGATCGATCGGTCTCTTGATGGTTTTGCTGTTGGGGCTAGCTACAAAGCGTCTCTATATATAGGGCCGCTAGCGGCTAGGACCTAGGAGTCGATCGAGCCTGAGTCAAGGTTTAGTCTTGATGAGATTCCACACTGAGCTGTTGGTCTTGGTCCAAGTCTAGTTGTGGTGTTGCTGAATGTTCTCAGTTTCTCTGTCAACACTCTCTGTTTGGTTGTTTTATCTGGAGGGCGGCAAAGTCAAAAGGTCTTTTTAAATTTCAAGAGCGTATCTTGCTCGGCAAAGAAAAAAAAGACCAGTGGCCATGACTTACAGAGTTTTCTAGAACAAAGGCTTAAGAAGAGTCCGCATTTGAATTAACAAAGATATCAACCAGCTAGGATTTATAACGACGAACAACAGAAACAAAACGTAGTATATAACAAGGCAAAGTACAACAATGAACAAGTAAATAAATAAGTAAAAAATAAAGCGAGCAAAACACTAGAAACTTCCCATTTACTTGCATGCTTTTCCTCAACCTTGCCGATAAGCGCCTCATGGCTCGCTCGCGGAGTTCTTACATCTGAATAGAGTCTTTACTCATAAAGCCTATACCTATACCTGATGATTTTCAATCCACAACTCATTTCTTGGATATGTGACGAGCTTTGCAAATTGTGATAAGGCCGCCAGAGAAACAGGTAAAAAAGCCTCAAATGCAACAAGCTAAAAACAATTAACAAGAAACACCAAGCTTGGAGACACTAAGATCTCTTTTGTGAACGAAGCACCGAAGAAGAGGAACATGCCGACTCGAGAGGTGAAAAGCCCGTCCACAAAGGAAGGGCATGCGATCTTAAAACAACTGAGGATCATGATGCGACATAAGCGTCCATTTCCATCCCCAAAGAAGGCCTCTACCTCCTCGTCTGGCTCGAACATATGTCGCACCATCGAACAATGGAGTTGCTTGCCCTATGGCATGGAAGAATGTCGTCGATAGGCTCCAACAAAGAAAGGATTGAAACATCGTGCCGCAGACGGCCTACCTAGAACAGAGCACTGCAACTGCCCATGGGCTCACCACTAAAGAGAAGAAAGTTGCTAGCTTGGATGAAGAAGGATAATAGCAGAAGGTTGGGGTAACAACGAGGGTCGAGGAGGAAGATATGACGCCTTAAGAAGGAGCTTTGTCTTGTGCACCACACCATTTTTCATCTTCCGGTGGCGCGAAGATGGCCAAAATAAACGACACTTCCGAACCATGAAAGTTGCCTCCGCCGTCCACCAACCACAACACAAACAACGCTCATAGCCACCAAAGGTCCCAAGATGGCCCCTACAAGGAGACACCGTCTAGAACTCTGTTGCAGCACAACAAAGTTAGGATTTTCACCCTAGAGGAGGAGGTGCAAGTAATAAGAAGACCTGCATGGCACCTCCATGGATGGGAACAGCGCCGGCGGGCCTAGGATTTCTTCCAGTCTTGATCCCCCACCAACCAGCACCCCAACCAACTCGCAATCCGATGGCCCACGTCGGCACAAACCAGATCCAGAGGGGTGGAGACCTCCGAAGATTAAAGGGAAGGAAGCAATCAGATCTGACATTGTTGTTTTTCAGAGCAAACACCATACTATGCTCCACACCCATCGACAGCCATGTCGTCCACACGACCACAACAAATTGTTGGAAATATGCCCTAGAGGCAATAATAAATTAGTTATTATTATTATATTTCCTTGTTCATGATAATCATTTATTATCCATGCTATAATTGTATTGATAGGAAACTCAGATACATGTGTGGATACATAGACAACACCATGTCCCTAGTAAGCCTCTAGTTGACTAGCTCGTTGATCAATAGATGGTTACGGTTTCCTGACCATGGACATTGGATGTCGTTGATAACGGGATCACATCATTAGGAGAATGATGTGATGGACAAGACCCAATCCTAAGCCTAGCACAAAGATCGTAGTTCGTATGCTAAAGCTTTTCTAATGTCAAGTATCATTTCCTTAGACTATGAGATTGTGCAACTCACGGATACCGTAGGAATGCTTTGGGTGCATCAAACGTCGCAACGTAACTGGGTGGCTATAAAGGCGCACTACGGGTATCTCCGAAAGTGTCTGTTGGGTTGGCACGAATCGAGACTGAGATTTGTCACTCAGTGTAAACGGAGAGGTATCTCTGGGCCCACTCGGTAGGACATCATCATAATGTGCACAATGTGACCAAGGGGTTGATCACGGGATGATGTGTTACGGAACGAGTAAAGAGACTTGCCAGTAACGAGATTGAATAAGGTATCGGCATACCGACGATCGAATCTCGGGCAAGTACAATACCGCTAGACAAAGGGAATTGTATACGGGATTGATTGAGTCCTTGACACCGTGGTTCATCCGATGAGATCATCGTGGAACATGTGGGAGCCAACATGGGTATCCAGATCCCGCTGTTGGTTATTGACCGGAGAACGTCTCGGTCATGTCTGCATGGTTCCCGAACTCGTAGGGTCTACACACTTAAGGTTCGATGACGCTAGGGTTATAAAGGAAGTTTGTATGTGGTTACCGAATGTTGTTCGGAGTCCCGGATGAGATCCCAGACGTCACGAGGAGTTCCGGAATGGTCCGGAGGTAAAGATTTATATATGGGAAGTCCTGTTTTGGTCGCCGGAAAAGTTTCGGGTTTTATCGGTAACGTACCGGGACCACTGGGAGGGTCCCGGGGGTCCACCAAGTGGGGCCACCATCCCCGGAGGGCTGCATGGGCCAAGTGTGAGAGGGGACCAGCCCCAGGTGGGCTGGTGCGCCCCCCCACAAGGGCCCAAGCCGCCTAGGGTTTGGGGAAGGGGGCGCACCCACCTAACTTGGGGGGCAAGTTTCCCCTCTTCCTCCCCTTGGCCGCACCCTAGATGGGTTTTGGGCTGGCTGCCGCCCCCCCTCCTCCTATATATAGTGGAGGCATAGGAGCAGCCCAACACACGAAGTTCTTCTCATGTTGGCGCAGCCCTACCTCTCTTTCTCCTCATATCTCGCGGTGCTTGGCGAAGCCCTGCTGGATCACCACGCTCCTCCACCACCACCACGCTGTTGTGCTGCTGCTGGATGGAGTCTTCCTCAACCTCTCCCTCTCTCCTTGCTGGATCAAGAAGGAGGAGACGTCCCCGGGTTGTACGTGTGTTGAACGCGGAGGTGCCGTCCGTTCGGCACTAGGATCTCCGGTGATTTGGATCACGATGAGTACGACTCCTTCAACCCCGTTCTCTTGAACGCTTCCGCTTAGCGATCTACAAGGGTATGTAGATGCACTCCACTCTCTCTCGTTGCTAGTTTCTCCATAGATAGATCTTGGTGACTTAGGAAAATTTTGAATTTCTGCTACGTTCCCCAACACAAATAGACCACGCCAACGCCAACTGCTCGTTGTAGAGTTGATGGCGCCTCGCCAGCTGAGGCCGCTGCCTTAGAGCCCAATGCCTCCCCCATGTGAGGCGACACAGAGTACGGCAATTCAAAGGGCTCTTGGTGCACTCGCATGTTATCTTTCAGGCACTATTACAACTCTTATGAGATAGAAGTTATGAAATGTTTTGATAATATTAAAGATAACTTTAAAGCTCTCCTAGACTATTATGGATCACTTATTTACTTTGGTTTTTGGTTTGATAGCTAAGGGCATATCAAACATGGATCATCAAATAGACACCACCAAATGCCCGTGGACACATCTAGACGTGTTGCTGGACAACCGGCCGACAGTGTTCATCCAACCGCGTCCTCCGAAAGACCGTGGATGTCATAGTTTTCATTTATTTTTGGATTACTATTTAGTATTTACACAAAAAAGCCTAAAAGGGAGAAAAAAAACCTAATCAACTTCTCGTCATTGTCCGAGTTGAGGTCAACGACCCCAAGGTCGACGGTTCGGCCTCGTAGTCGTTGGGGGTCGACACGAACGAGAGGGAGCTATTGATGTTGCCTTTTTGGCATCGTCGGGCGACATGCTGCTTCGGTGCCTCATCATCCTGGACCACCAGCTCCTCAAAAAATTGGGTGCATTGACATGGAGCTATCAATGAGCTTCTCGGAAAACTGGGTGCATTGACATGGAGCTATCAACACTTGTAGGAGACCATGCAGGCTCTATACATGGACGCGAGCACCGCTCAGTTCACGTTGACGATACTAGGGTCCGTCTTATCGATGCCCCGACGATAACATTGCACGCGTGCTCCGCTTCCATCTGAGCCTCGACCAATCGGTGTGGTTGTCATGTTGTACTGTTGCTCCACGTGCAACAACCAGAAAACAAACATTGGCGTGGTGTGGATGACAATCGCCTCCTCCTCCGCGCCCTCCGTCATGGCCATTGGGTCGCCCTCCTTCCCCTCCACCGAGTTTGGCTCTAGAGAGCTCGATGATTGGGTTGCCTCATTTTGATCCTGGCGCCGGGCACCTGTGGCATGGACCTACACTGCCGACAACAGTTTAAACCATGAAATCGCAGAGCCAACTATTGCGATGTTGAACGATGAACGCAGATGCGAACTAGGGATGTGAAATAGCTGCGACAAGCGGAGTAGCAAAGATATGAATGCAGGCAGCTGGAGTAGGCTTCTCGGTAGCCGCGCCGACATGAATGCAGTTAGGTAGCTGCGCCCAATGTAAATGCGTGAAGGGTTCTAGAGCTAAAGGACCGGAAATAAATGTCCGAACTTTCAACAGCTCCTTCAATTTGAGGTCAACTTGTGGGATTTGAGAGGCATTTTAATGCTTTGATTACGGTAGCATCGGAGCTCTCTCTCTCTCTCTCTCCCCAGTCCTCACTCCTCCAGCTTCATCTCCTCCCACCCCTACCTCCAAGAAGACAACCTCAGTCCCTCACTCTCCGCCCTCACCTTACACCGGCGGGAAAGGAGCGTGCTTCTCCGCTCGCTGAAATCTCGCGGCGGCGGCTGGTTGGCCTTCTGCTCGGGATCTGGTACAGCAAGGTGAGCCGTGAGAACACAATCCCTTGTTAGTACTATTTGCCAGCCATGAATTGGATCTGAGCAGAGCACCGTCCCTACTTAGATAACTTCTGCAGAGGTCAGAGGGGAGGCCGGTGGTAGGTAGGCTTCTGCTTCTCCTCCGTCCTCGGCGGGTCGAGCAGATTCTCTTCACCGGTGTGCTGCTCTGACGCCGTCTTCCCCGTGCCAACTCGACACTGCACAGGTCATTTTTATCCATCCAAACCCTAACTAATAGCTGCACTTTAGAGTAAGATATTCGATTAGCATTGCGTGCTTCCCATCCAATTCTTCATGACCCGTGATGTTTCTCTATACATCTAACCCTGCGCATTGTTAATCGATCCATGACTTCCGGAGTGTGTGCAATTAGAATTAGCCCGTGGTTCATGGAAGGTACTGTGTGCAATTAGCCCTGCTTCCAGTTTGTCATGATTAATCAGATACACATCGAGTTAATTAATTCTTGATTTCCTTGCTTCTTTGTGATTTTCGTGTTTGGAGTGAGTGTATACATTTTTTCGAGAAGGAGGAATACCCCCGGCCTCTGCATCTCTTGATGCACACAGCCATAGCCCATAAGAGTGAGTGTATAAATACGCCTGCAGAGCTCTTGAAACAAGCAAGTCAGAACAGATTGATTATTAAAATGCATAGAAATCTGCAAGAACACCCAAATGGGTCGAACTCTGCTAGGTATGAAGATAGGTTGCGTGCAGGGATCCTTTACAGGGAGATTTTGTTTTAACCAAATTCTTGGTCTAATCCAGCATATCAAACTTAAAAACTAATTGGCGATATCCATCATTTAATTCTTTCTGTTGCTGTATGCTAATGTTTTATGATTACCTTATCCCAGTAAAGCTGAACTTGAAATGGATTAAAATGGTTAGCTCGTGTGGCAACTGCTTTGTCCCAAGTAAACATAGTTTCACATGATTGAATTATGTTACAGTATCTTGGTCTCCATGATTAAAAAAACTGCTTCCGTGTCTATCCTGACATTATCAGTTTTGCCTTTCAGTAAACTGCAATAAAGAGATGGACCCCGGGAATGGTTTTCTTGCTGCCAAGCTAACTGATGATCTGGTGGTGGAGATCCTCTCCCGGCTGCCGTTCAAGTCTTTTTGCCGCTTCAAATGTGTCTGCAAGGCCTGGCTTGCCTTATCCTCTGATCCGCAATACTGCAAGAAGCTTCTGAAAATTCCAACAGGTCTTCTCTACCAACGACGTTATAACTCTGCTATCAAGCTCGCTAGCCTGCCCCACAATGATAAGGATTTTGATGAAGCTCTTAGTTTCCTACCACAGTATGAGCAATTAGAGCTGATGGACTCTTGCAATGGCCTAGTCCTTTGTAAGTACAAGAACAGCTACACTCCTCCAGCTCCAGGTATTTGCCGCTTTATCGTGTGCAATCCGGCAACACGAGAGTGGAAGATGCTCCCGGATACTCCTCCTAGCCATTATGACCCTTTTTACAATATGAGTATTCTGGCCTTCAGCACATCATGGTCGGCAAATTTCTACGTCTTCAACTTTCAGCGGCTCAGTACACGCTATTTGGGATTTGGCCCCGTCAAACTTCAGGTGTTTTCGTCTGACCTTTCCACTTGGTTTCTGGACGATACATCATGGCTCTCTGGGACATCAGTTTCTCAACCACACATGTTTATTGATGGAGCATTATACGTGCACACAGATTTGCATGAGATTATGGTACTGAAGAGCTTGGAGGAAACTAGTTCTGGCATTGCGCCCTCTCTTCGGACTATTAAGTTGCCGCATGAAAATGTCGGTTTTGTGGCTAGGTTTGGCCAACGTTGCTTCGGCCAATCTTCGGGGGCCTTGCAATACGCATTGCCAGAGGAGGATGCTCGTACGATTCTTGTTTGGAGTCTTGATGTTGATGAGCCTTATGAGTGGAGCCTCAAGTACCGCCTCAGTATGAGCCATGCATTCGGAAGGGACAACCTTTGTCAGTATGGCGTGCATTCCTGGCAATGTGACTATGAGGTCATCGCTCTTGACCTGGAGAGAGATGGTGTTCTCCTGTTCGACAAACGGGCGGACAAGCTTCGTTTGTACAACACAAGAACCGGTGAACTTGACGAGATTCAACCAGAAGACCACCGCTGCCGCAAGTTGCAAGATGCGTACTATCATTATGTGGCATCCTACTCAAAGCTCCCAGCTTTGTTTGGCTTTTGAGTGTCGCGCCTCTTTATGCTGTCAAACAATGCGGAGTATTTATGGATTGTAATCTAGGACCATTTTTTTGTTTTCTTGAACCTATTCCAGTAGTACCAATATTAATGAGGTTAGCTCTATTCTGTCACTGATTGTAGCAGCAGCTGCATGTAAGCTGGGAGCTATGTATTCTGCCCTAGCCTAGCCATCTCTCTGAAAATATAATTCCTGAAATTGCTGAGGGAAGATGCTGAATTTCTTGGAAATACTGGAGGCCTGTGTGCCCCGTTTATCATTTGGTATCTTGGGAGGTAAGATTCATAAACTGACACTAATCCATTTATATTTTGAGAAGATACCAAATGATAACACATACCGTATATTATTGCCATAAATTCTCACCATGCATATAGAGTATAATTTGAAAGTGAAAGGAGAAAACTTTGTGCTTGTGGAAACTGGTACATGTCAAACGACTCGACATACATAGACGGTTGAAATATTACAATGTGAACAAGTTTGATTTTCTAGTTAACTAACCAAGGTTTATGAATCCAAATCCCCCCAAAAAATTCCCTTTGTTGGGTACCACTAGATTATCCCTATCTTTTGGAACTCCTTACTTTTGCCCCTCCGCCGTTAGGTGGCCCTATGAAAATGCCCTCACAGCATGTTTCCGTCCGGTCAACCCCCTTTGATCATCACCGACACATTTGTTGGACACACTAGATGATACTCTGCACGTTGTTGCGTAATGTTCTGCAATATATTTCAATAAAACAGATAATACAAAGATTTGTTGTGTCTTATTATTGTATAGTCATATAATATTTAATTAATATGAAGAACATGTAGAATGAAAATTGTTATGCATGTTGAGGTGAGCTTTTTTCCACGAAGCTCGGCTTCCAAAAGCAATTTTCGGTTAAGGGGTGGCTATTCAGATACAGAAGACATATCCCCCTTCACAGCATGCCACTGCCAGCTGGGTCCCACTCATAGAGTTGCCACCAAAAAAATGGGAAACTCCAGTCACAGAAGAGTTTTGGAGAAACAGGGCACTCGAATTCACACGTAAATGTATACGCTAATGCTAAGCAGATCTCAGTCAACCAAGCTCTAGTCTCAAGATTTGTTGGTAAAAGTATGTAAAGCATTTCCTATGGAGGTACATAACATCTCTCGACAAGGCAGATACCTCAGATATGCATAAAACAGTGCTTGCTGCAGTATATTCTATCAGCCTCTTCATCCACACAAAGATATTCAGATACATAAACTGAATCTAAGAGATGATGCCGTAGCAGGACCGGTGCAACAGATATGCACAAAACAGTGGATTACAACAACACATCTTACTAGGAAGTCATAAGGTCATACCCCCTACTCAATGTTGCAGTTCTGGACCGAGGGTTTGTCATCGGGGCCGGGACCGTATGTTTGTTCGACAGTATGGGCAATCTGCGCATTTCCGCACCCATGGCTCCAAGCAAGTCGAGTGGAACCTGTGTCCGCAGCGCAGCCTTATCAGCTCGTCTCCGTCATAGAAACCATCGAGACAAATCGAGCATTCCGGCGATGCCTCCCTGTTGTCATCTTTCTTAGCCTCGAAGATCTCTATCTGTAGCCGAAGAAAGGCGGACTTGCTCAGTCCAGGTGACCTGTTGGAAGTAGTTGAACTGATGGATGTGTTCTCCAAGTTCTCTTCATCCGACACGCTGCTTGGCTGAACAGATGATGAGCTAGGCCAATTTGCCTCGTATGGGGTTTCTCTGCTTCCGAAGTCGATGATTCTAAACACATCCGTAGCTGAAAATTCATCCAATGTGATGGATGGCCTGGAGGTAGATGATCCGATAGAAACACCTCTCAATCTCTCTAGAACACGTGCCTGAGCTTGCAGTACGGCACCGGGAAGCCGCTCATTTGTTCTGAACATCAGCCTGTCAAGTCGGTTCCTTGTAGCTGCAGAATCCCCAATGTTGCTATTGTCTATGTATGATAAGATGCGGTCCTGTAGACAACAGAAACGACAAAAAAAAAATCATTTGATGATATATATGATCACAAACAACATGAAAATGCACATGAAAGCTAAAGTCATGACTTCTCAATCCAACGTTTTCTTCTCTCTTTGTGGAACCAGACAGGAACACTGCCACTCAATTAGAAGATAAGAAAAACAATAAACTGAAGTTAGCGCATCAAAATGGCAAGAAGACCAAGTTGCGGCATGAACCAGTTTGGTACTAAGCTGAAGTTTCATCTATACATATCTCAAAGACTCAAACTATATGTTTGGCCAGAAGATTGAAGCAGTGGCAGTTTCTTTCTTCAGTATCACAGAGAGATGGAACAAGCAGTTGTAACTCAGAGCCTAAGGCTGTTATGTACCTTTTGGTTTGCTCAATAACCATGATGGTTACGTGCAATGCTTTGTTTAACTTATAGTAAAATTTAGTCTGGTTTCGTTTCTCAGCCTGAATCTGACTTGCTTTAACTTCTGCGTTGGCAACTTACACATCCTATTGTGTAGCCAACATTCCAAGCGTACATCAAAATTAATTCCGCAGGAACTCTAATTAATAACCCTGGTCCCCTCAGAAATCCACTTATGAGCTATCCATATCGTTTCTAGTCTAACTACTACAGCACAAAAATTACAAGAACGCGGGCCCATCTCGTTTCCCATTTTGGAATGATCGCTACCCATTTCCAGAGCTATCAAGCCAGGCTGATCGAAACCCCGCGCTTCAAAATCACCGCATGATCGTGCCCGGGACGAATTGGTGACCCTAATCCTCTCACAAATTTTACAGGACAAGACCTGAAATGCTTCGATCTAACCAACCACGGCACGGGAACTGCAATCACCCAGCGGGCCGGGGAGGAGGAGCAGGAGGCTCTCACCGTGTAGGAGCCGCGTCGGCGCGGGGGCGGCGGGCCGGTGTGGAGGTGCTGGCGCACGTCCCCGGCGGCGTCGAGCTGGCGGCGCGCGCGGCAGCCCCGCCGGCGGCGGCGGGCGGCGAGGCCGTGCGGGTCCTGCGGCGCGTCGGCGAGCGGATCCGGGCCGGGGTCCCCCGGGTCGGAGAGGCGGGGCGCGCGGGCGCGGCGGGCGGTGAAGAGCTCGGAGGCGCTCGTCATGGCCGGCTGCCGGATCCCCACCTCGGGCGCCCGTACGGATCAGGCGCGCGTGTGCGTGTGGCGTGGCCTGCGTGATGCAAAGGGTTGGCGCTCGTCGCCTTGCTTTTCGTCTCTTTCCCCGCCCGGTTTGGTGGTTTCCCCGTGCCGCGGGCTGGATCCGGTACTTGGATAGGGCGGGCGTGGGACGGGATAGGACGGGCGGAAGGAGCGGAGGAAGGTACGGGGCCTGTAGCTGCACGGCAAGTCGGGGAACACCGCCGGGGTTGTCACGGAGACCATGACCAGTGGTAGTGGACCAGTGGACTGGGCGGTGATGCGTTGCCGCGCTGGGTTGGAAACTTCCGGGGGCATGGGACACATGTGCTCACTGCCTAGCTAGATTTGCTTGCCAAGTCGTTGGTCGGGGAGACGGAAAACCGCAGGCAAAGGACGTGTCAGTGATGGTCAGTATCAGGGACGAGCATAGGCAAAATTTCGTGTTTTGACCCTTTTCCCTAACAATTGTAGGATCTGACCCTGGTTTGAAATATTTTCGGGATTTGACCCTTTTGCTACCGTCAGGGTCTCTGGCGGTAGGGTTAGGCAGGCTACCGCCAAAGCCCCTGGCGGTAGGGTGTGACGGAGGGGGACGGCGGTCGTTTGCTTGTGCTGACGTGGATAAGTACCTTACCGCCAGGGCCCCTGACGGTAGGCTGTCTAACCCTACCGCCAGAGGCCCTGGCGGTAGGGTGTGGCAGGGTTTTACAGTGTAAAGTTTTTGTGACGAAATGTGCAATGGCCCTGGCGGCGCCATGTGGGCTGGCGGTAGGTTGTATGACCCTACCGCCAGGGCCCCTGGCAGTAGGGTCCTGTGTATTGCAGTGTAAAGTTTCTGTAACGTGCACAGGCCCTGGCGGTAGGTTCATGCTACCGCCGTGGGGGCTAGCGGTAGGCTGTTTAACCCTACCGTCAGGGTGTCTGGCGGTAGGGTCCTCTGTTTTGTTGTTTCAAGTTCATTTGGTTGCTTGTTTTCAAATTCAATATGACATCAATATCACGACAAGTTTCACAAAATATGACAGCAATATCACATATTTTAAACAATTAAACTTGAGCATCACATAAACCCATATTAAAATAACTTAAAGTGCATAGAATATTTCAAACGAACTTCAACTAATCAGTAAACGGAGTTTCACATAGTAGCAAACACATAGGTCCACAAATAGCAAACACCTAGTTCCACGTAGTTCCACAACCGACAATTTCAACCAAACGAAGTTCAACCTAATAGCGAACACATAGACAACCCAACTACAACAACCAACTATCGAAGATCATAATCAGTTGCTCCTTCCTCTCTTGGAGGTACGGTCCTCGTTACTCTTTGAACGAGTCTTTTCGGTCTTCTTCTTGGGCCGACGAGGAAGCGGTCTCTGGAAAGGGTCCGGACTCAACAAATCCTTCTTCTTCGGATTCCTCTTCTTCGGGAGCTGAGATGCTTGAGATGATTGAGTTGGTGGAGGTCCATAATCTTCATCGTACTCCTCTTCCCCGTTGCTCTCATCCTCCTCCTCCTCTTCCTCCTCCCCTTCTTCATATGTGGCCTCCTCCCCCTCCTCCTCATCCTCCTCCTCCTCCTCCTCGGCCAACCTAGACGACGAGGGAACCTGGCTCGATGAGCCGATGTGACCCTGTGTGGCTACATGTCGATAAGCTTCAACCGACCCAGCTCCAGCACACCCAAGCAGCCCTACTAGCTTGCGACAACGCTTCACGAACTTTTGCACTCACAATGAAACAAGGGCATAATAAGTATCAGGTTTATGATTGCAAAGTGAACAAGATGCATCTGTTCCGAGGAGGCTGAAATTGTACCTTCATCGTCCCCCTCATTTTGTTCTCGGGTTGTACGCTCCCGGGGACATCACCTAGTGCATCTAAGGCTTCAAAGATGCATCTGTTCAGCTCACCAGACCGCAACGGCATAAGCCAGTCACGATGACGAATGAAATAGTTTAAATACAATTGTCGGTTCAAACTTACCACTGTGTTGATGAGGGGGGCAAACTCCCTAAAACCACTGTGCATGTCTCTGATGCCGGTCTGGTAGGCCTCTTCCTCGGGGTCATCCCTCTCCAGCTCCGCGATGTCTTCCGCCATCCACCGAGGCCTGAGACGAAGACGGTGCTTCTGGCCATCATCGTACCACCTCATGTGTCGGCCCAGGTAAGCATCCCAGTCAGTCACCCTCCTCTCCCCGTCTTTCCGGTACCTCCGTTGGTTCCACTCAGTCACATGACTTTTATGCTGCTCTCCCCAGTCTGTGATCGACTGATTTTTCTGTCGGCTCATCCTGCAAGGCATAAGCAACAAGAATCATCATAAGCGCAATGAGATCATCATAAGCAACAAGAAACATGATAAGCGTAATGAAATCATGGGCATGGAGAACAAAGCGCTCACAGGTGGAGCGCGTGGCCGCCGGTATCGGTGGGTTGGCCCGATGGGGTATGCTGAAAAATCCCAAACTGCGTGGCCACGCGGTGTGGCAAGTGCCACTCGACGGTGTACACACAGATCATGGGCACGATGCACCGCCAAAGACCACGGTCCGCATCGCACATCACGTTCAGATCAAAGTCCCACTCTCGGTCTTGTCGATACGGCCACCAGTTTACCTATTACATATACATTGGTAAGTTCCCACTCTCGATCAAAAGTGGAATCAAAGAGAAAGGTGTTGAGCGAGTTCATATACCTGTGTATGCGTCAAAGCGTCCAACTCGTTGGTGTAGGTCTTGTACGAAGTCTTGTTTAGGCCCGTGTAGAGTTTGACAACGTCCCACTCGTAAGCTACGTTGGGGTTTTGAGTCTCGTCGCCGTCTTCGCCATAGTCTTCCCATGGGCGTCTTCACATCTTCTCCGGATGCCCCACCGGCAGCCGCTCCCACATCCAAATGGATAAGGCCCAGACAAAGCCACCCATATTGGACTTGTCTCCCGTCCTCTGCGTTGCATCGTCAAGCTGCAAAACATCAAATGAGGATCAGATATAAGAAAATGTCATGGACATACTTTCTTAGGTAGGTAGGAAATTAGACACTCTCTTACCGAACGGTATAGGTAGGCGAGAGATGCGGTCCCCCAACTGTACCCTGCATCCTAGTTGAAAGAACATGCGGTGCCCCCATGTTTGGTTTTGGTAATTGATGACAATCTCTATGGACTAATGGTTTTCTTGAGTTATATTTAAAGGATTTGTCCAGAGTCTTTTCTTGAAGTCCATGTGTTGGTTTCAAGGAGTTTTTGAGTTGACCAAGGTGCTATTAAGGAATTATCCAAATATTGGTCATGTGAGTGTTGAGCTTATTGCAAGCATGTCTTGAAGAAGAAGATTGTGTGATCATTCATGTTTACCTTCAAGACATCATCCAAATGAAGAGAGTTGGAAAGATTCAAGGTTGATCAAGACTAAGTCAAGAGTGAATCAAGTTGATCAACTCACAAAGCGTAGAAGATGTACCGAGAGGGATCAAGCGATCCCATGGTATGGTAAGCATTGTCAATTATGCTTTGTGTACTAACCCATGATCTTCGTGAGAGTTCTTTGTGCGGTTAGGTTGTGGTGTGCAAGTTCAAGTGAAGCATCATGAAGAGATCAAATGCTTGAAGATTGCCGTCCATTGTGATGACAATGGACTTATGAAGATGTGCGTAAGAGTGGCTCACCCATAGTGGAGTATGGGGGAGCAATCAACTAGTCTTCATCGAGCCAACGCAATCAAGAAAGGTGGTCCAACTTGAGGGGGTCAAGATTGTCATCATCTAGCTCAAGTGGACCATGTGCAAGGCAAAGGTTTGCCCTTGATAGGTTTTCTATTTTACCGGTCTCATGGTGGTAGTTGGGAGACCGGGTTTTAGGATCGATTGTCGTACTATCAAGGGGGGCTCTCGATGAGTAGCTTTATCGTATCATTAGTAGAGAGCTCAAACCATTGCATCCTTGCATCATCTTTCTTGGTTCTTGTTTGTTTCTCTTTGTGAGTTTTGGAGCTTTTGGTCATCTTGATGACAAGCTCGAGTTCATCGAAAACGGAGTTCACATGCATCTTCTATGATGTTTTCGATGTTGGAGGTTCTGCCGGTTCTTCTCTGTTGGAGGTTTCTCTCCTCTTTTTTTAGGCATACCTCCCCTACCTCCTCTTACTATAACCAGTCACTGTTTCGATGCTACTCGTTGTCTTGTATCCAACAAGCTTGAGTTTGCTCAATTCGGAGCTCATTTGCAGAAGTTATGGCAGTTCTGGTTTTCCTTGGAGCGTACGTGTTTTCGTGGAAGTGACATAAGGTTGGCGCCAGCGGTAGTACCGCTGGACCGGAACGGTAGTACCGCGTATCGCCACAAGCGGTAGTACCGCTGTCCCACATCGGTAGTACCGCCCATGGCCATAAGCGGTAGTACGGCTCCGGTTCCGCGCTGGTACCGCCTCGACTCGAGACGTATTTTTCTCGTGTCGGGTTCAGTGGCAGTTGTAGCAGCAATAGGAGCGGCAATACCGCTCTTGTGCGGTAGTACTGCGGCTACCACCGCCCTAGTACTGCTGGGCCAAGCGGCAGTACCGCTGCTGCCAACGGTAGTACCGCTCGCTCCAGTGGTAGTGCCGCTCATTCGGCTCTGCCTCGCCCTCTGTTTTGCTCTGGTCTCTATGTTCTAACGCCCGGGCGGTAGTACCGCTCCCCTGAGCGGTAGTACCGCTCGTGCGCGGTCTGAGCACATAAAGGTTGGATTCGAGAGCTCCTATAAAAGGGGGTCTTCTTCCCCATTCAACCTTATCCTTTGAGCTCGTGTTCTTCCCCCATTGTTGACCTTCTTCGAGCCTGCTAACTCTCAATCCCTCCATGTATTCTTGCTAGTTTTTGAGGGAAAAGAGAGAGGAGATCTAGATCCACATTTCCACCAATCACTTTCTCCTCTATGTGAGGGGAACCCCTTGGATCTAGATCTTGGAGTTCTTGGT